ATGTGGTGCTGAGGAATTGAACCCAGGGCCTCAGGCATGCAAGGCAAGTGCTCTACCACTGAGCCACCTTCCCAGCCCCTAACTCTGGGTTTTTATACACCGGCCCTTCTTCTTTCTCTTGGTTGCCTTTTCTAATTCTAGTCTCAGATTACTCCTACAAACCCTGAATTAAATCTACCTACCTACTAAGGCTGTGCTACATAAATTCTAATTCAGACCAGCAATGGTGGCTCACACCTGTAATCCTAGCTGCTTGAAAGGTTGAGATTGGGAGGATTGTTGTTCCAGGCCAGCCCTAGAAAAACAGTTTGCCAGACCACATATGAGCATAAAATGCTGGGCATGGTGATGTGGGCCTGCTAGCCCAGGTGCAGTGGAAATGTAAAATAGGCAGATTGTGATCTCGGCTGGCCAAGGCAAAAAGTTAGGTCCTATCCCAAAAATCACTAGAGCAAAGCCAAGTACTGGTGTCTCATGCCCATAATCCTAGCTACTTAGGAGGCTGAGATTTGAGGATCACAATTTGAAGCCAGCCCAGGTAGAAAATTATGTGAGACTCTTGGAAGTGGTGCTGTGGCTCAAGCGGTAGAGCGCTCACCTCGAGGTGAAAAGCACAAGGACAGCGCCCAAGCCCAGAGTTCAAGCCCCGCGACCGACCAAAAAAAAAAAATTATGTCAGACTCTTATCTCCTATTAACAACCAAAAAAACAGAAGTGGAGCTGTGACTCAATGTGGTATTATAATGCTAACCTTGAGCACAAAATCTAATGGACAAAAAAAAAAAAAAGCTAATGTACAGTGTCCAGGCCCCACATTGACATGAGGTAGAATACCTGCCTAACAAGCAGTTCAAACCCCAGTATCATCAAGACAAAGACAAAAACAATACTCATCCACTTGTCTTGGTTTGAAATCACATTTATTAGCTCTTTTTACATTTTTTATTGTTTTTGAGGGTCTACAAAATGTATATGTTTGTCCATTAAGGACAAATTCTAGTTTTTTGGTTTTTTTTTTTTAGGTGCTAAAGATGGGACCCACAGCCTTGCACATGCTCACCAAGTGATCGACCTATATCTTTTTTTTTTTTCTTTTTTGGGTCCGGTCGTGGGGCCTGAACTCTGGGCCTGGGCGCTGTCCCTCAGCTCTTCAGCTCAAGGCTATCGCCCTACCACTTGAGCCACAGCACCACTTCCAGCTTTTTTCTTTTTGCTTATGTGGTGCTGAGGAATCGAACCCAGGGCCTCAGGCATGCAAGG